CACCCAGCCTCTCTGCAAGCCTCACTCCAAGCTGCTGGAGGGGTCTAAGAGAGCAGAGCATCAGGCCTGCGGGTCCTGGTCCTTGCCCCTGACACAGCCCCGGGAGGGTGCTGTGACCCTCCCGGCCAGGAGGACCCCGGCCAGCCTGGAGGAGGGGCTCTGCAACCAGCCCATGGGTGTGGGGGAGGCCACTCCTGAGGACAGGCCTGGGCAGAGAGTGCAGTGTGAGCCGAGGCACCCCCACCCTGGGGCAGGAAGGTAAGGCAGCGGGGGAAGGGCCCCGAACTTCCCGGGGGTCAGAAGTCCAGCCCCACCCCCATCAAGCCATCGCAGAGTCCAAGAAGCCTGGCAGGGATGGGGTGGGCAGTGCCCTCTGACAGGCCCAGGCCAAGCTGCCGCAGGGGACACCTAACAGGCAGCCATGGCCAGGAGCTGAGATGCCCTGACCCCCTCCCCATCCCAGGCAGCGTCTCAGGCCACCAGCAGGGACTTACGGGAGAGAAAGGCATTTCTCCAACTCGACTCAGCCAAAGGCTACTGGGACCCAAGTTACCCTCATTGTCAAAGCCAGTGGGTGAAACTCCCAGCACCTTCTGTAGCGAAACAGACAAGTCACAGCACCAGGGCTGTATTTCCAGAAGTTCCGGAAGCTTCAGTGTAAAGGTCTTGCTGGGAGTCTCAGTCAAATGGAAGAGAAGATGCGGCCTGAGCTCACAACTCTGCATCCAGCAGACCCCTGAGTAGGTGAAGGCACGTAGGTGAAGGCCAGCATGCAGGCGAGTCTCACTAGGGTCCTCCATGGGGTGAGGAAGCCAGGAGCCGGGCACTGGCCCTGGAGGAGGCTGGGGAGGCACTGGGAGCCCACCACTCACTCAGGGAGCACCCTGCCGGGAGAAAGCCAGAGGGGCTCCAAGGTCCCAGGAGCCTGCCAGGCTGTGCGGGCCCTGCCCAGGGGCCCTGGCGTCTGGCCCTGAGATCCTTTAAAATGGGCGAGCACCACAGATGAAGACTTCTGGGATCCCAAGTGTGAGAACATCCCGAGGGCAGGCTCCTGGGAGGCAGATCCCAGAAGGCCCGGCTATAGGAGGTGGCTCCAGCGAGTGAGTGACAGGTGGGTGGGCAGTGGAGCTACAGGAGACGGCTCCAGAGAGTGAGTGACAGGTGGGTGGGCAGTGGAGCTACAGGAGGAGGCTCCAGCTGAGTGACAGGTGGGTGGGCAGTGGGGCTACAGGAGGTGGCTCCAGCGAGTGAGTGACAGGTGGGTGGGCAGTGGAGCTACAGGAGGCGGCTCCAGCTGAGTGAGTGACAGATGGGTGGGTAGTGGGGCTACAGGAGGCGGCTCCAGAGAGTGAGTGACAGGTGGGTGGGCAGTGGGGCTACAGGAGGAGGCTCCAGAGAGTGAGTGACAGGTGGGTGGGCAGTGTGGCTACAGGAGGAGGCTCCAGCTGAGTGACAGGTGGGTGGGCAGTGGGGCTACAGGAGGCGGCTCCAGAGAGTGAGTGACAGGTGGGTGGGCAGTGAGGCTACAGGAGGAGGCTCCAGAGAGTGAGTGACAGGTGGGTGGGCAGTGTGGCTACAGGAGGCGGCTCCAGAGAGTGAGTGACAGGTGGGTGGGCAGTGGGGCTACAGGAGGCGGCTCCAGAGAGTGAGTGACAGGTGGGTGGGCAGTGGGGCTACAGGAGGCGGCTCCAGAGAGTGAGTGACAGGTGGGTGGGCAGTGGGGCTACAGGAGGCGGCTCCAGAGAGTGAGTGACAGGTGGGTGGGCAGTGGGGCTACAGGAGGCGGCTCCAGAGAGTGAGTGACAGGTGGGTGGGCAGTGGGGCTACAGGAGGAGGCTCCAGCTGAGTGACAGGTGGGTGGGCAGTGGGGCTACAGGAGGCGGCTCCAGAGAGTGAGTGACAGGTGGGTGGGCAGTGGGGCTACAGGAGGCGGCTCCAGAGAGTGAGTGACAGGTGGGTGGGCAGTGGGGCTACAGGAGGCGGCTCCAGAGAGTGAGTGACAGGTGGGTGGGCAGTGGGGCTACAGGAGGCGGCTCCAGCTGAGTGACAGGTGGGTGGGCAGTGGGGCTACAGGAGGCGGCTCCAGAGAGTGAGTGACAGGTGAGTGGGCAGTGGGGCTACAGGAGGCGGCTCCAGAGAGTGAGTGACAGGTGGGTGGGCAGTGGGGCTACAGGAGGAGGCTCCAGCTGAGTGACAGGTGGGTGGGCAGTGGGGCTACAGGAGGAGGCTCCAGCTGAGTGACAGGTGGGTGGGCAGTGGGGCTACAGGAGGCGGCTCCAGAGAGTGAGTGACAGGTGGGTGGGCAGTGGGGCTACAGGAGGAGGCTCCAGCTGAGTGACAGGTGGGTGGGCAGTGGGGCTACAGGAGGCGGCTCCAGAGAGTGAGTGACAGGTGGGTGGGCAGTGGGGCTACAGGAGGCGGCTCCAGAGAGTGAGTGACATGTGGGTGGGCAGTGGGGCTACAGGAGGAGGCTCCAGCTGAGTGACAGGTGGGTGGGCAGTGGGGCTACAGGAGGCGGCTCCAGAGAGTGAGTGACAGGTGGGTGGGCAGTGGGGCTACAGGAGGCGGCTCCAGAGAGTGAGTGACAGGTGGGTGGGCAGTGGGGCTACAGGAGGCGGCTCCAGAGAGTGAGTGACAGGTGGGTGGGCAGTGGGGCTACAGGAGGCGGCTCCAGATGAGTGAGTGACAGGTGGGTGGGCAGTGGAGCTACAGGAGGCGGCTCCAGAGTGAGTGACAGGTGGGTGGGCAGTGGGGCTACAGGAGGAGGCTCCAGCTGAGTGAGTGACAGGTGGGTGGGCAGTGTGGCTACAGGAGGCGGCTCCAGAGAGTGAGTGACAGGTGGGTGGGCAGTGGGGCTACAGGAGGAGGCTCCAGCTGAGTGACAGGTGGGTGGGCAGTGAGGCTACAGGAGGCGGCTCCAGAGAGTGAGTGACAGGTGAGTGGGCAGTGGGGCTACAGGAGGCGGCTCCAGAGAGTGAGTGGCAGGTGGGTGGGCAGTGTGGCTACAGGAGGCGGCTCCAGAGAGTGAGTGACAGGTGGGTGGGCAGTGGGGCTACAGGAGGAGGCTCCAGCTGAGTGACAGGTGGGTGGGCAGTGGGGCTACAGGAGGCGGCTCCAGAGAGTGAGTGACAGGTGAGTGGGCAGTGGGGCTACAGGAGGCGGCTCCAGAGAGTGAGTGACAGGTGTGTGGGCAGTGGGGCTACAGGAGGCGGCTCCAGAGAGTGAGTGACAGGTGGGTGGGCAGCGGGGCTACAGGAGGCGGCTCCAGAGAGTGAGTGACAGGTGGGTGGGCAGCGGGGCTACAGGAGGTGGCTCCAGAGAGTGAGTGACAGGTGAGTGGGCAGTGGAGCTACAGGAGGCGGCTCCAGATGAGTGAGTGACAGGTGGGTGGGCAGTGGGGCTCCAGGAGGCAGCTCCAGCGAGTGAGTGACAGGTGAGTGGGCAGTGGAGCTACAGGAGGCGGCTCCAGATGAGTGAGTGACAGGTGGGTGGGCAGTGGGGCTCCAGGAGGCAGCTCCAGCGAGTGAGTAACAGGTGGGTGGGCAGTGGGTAGTGGTGAACGGGGTTGTCCTTGCCCCTTTTGAGGGTTTCAAGGAAGGTCATCATCATGCAGATGGTGGAAACAAAGCCTAGGAGAGTGAATGTCCCAATGACCCCACTCACAGTAGGAGGCCAGGAGAGGCCCCCGCTGGACTGACACCTGGGCTCCCCTCCTATAAGGATGACCCTGTCTGAGAGGAGGGGTGAGGAAAGAACATGCACCCCAAGAGCTGACTCCTCCAGCAGGTCTGAGGGGACCAGGGGGCCCAAAGCTAAAGTGCCCTGGGCTCCCAGAAGCCCCTGCAGCGGGCTTGGGCCGCCCGTCTCTGTTGTCCTGAAGTACATCACAACATTCCAGCATCTGTTTCTACTTTCAGATCCGGGGAAACGTTACATAGCGGCTGCCTGGATCCCCGCAGTGGCTGGGACATGTGAGTGTGTGCCGGGGAGGCCCCGGGGCTGGCAGGCTGCCCTGCCACATTGCAGGCAGGGCCGGGAGGGAGAGAGGCTGTGCAGAGCCACCCCGGGCCCCACTCCGGGCCTCCAAGGCCAAAAGAAGGGGCATCCTGACCTCCTGTCACCCAGAGAATGAACCCCCATGCCTCCCAGACAGAGGCCAGCAAGAGAGCCAGTCCTGTCCTTGCTCGGGACGCTTGTGTCCACAGCCAGCCAGGAGCAGGGGTGCCGAAGGGCAGGGGTGACTGACTGGCTACTCACTCTTCACCCCAGACTCCTGGCTTCCAACCTCCTTCTCAGCCCTGCACCGGTGCCTTGGGGCCTGGCACCCCTCCTTCCCTCTACCCCTCCCTCCCTGCAGCCGTAGTCTGTGTCCCTGGCACCTCCTCCATCCTGTTCTCACAGCCAAGGGCCCCTCAGAGGAAGCCGAGGGCAGGGTCTCATTCCTCGGTCAGCTCTACCCCACCTGCAGCAGCCCACACCCTCCAGCCTCCGAAGACTGGGCCGGGGGCACCTGGGCTCACAAAGCCTGACTCTGCAGGTAAAAGGTGGCCTCACGCAGCCTGTGCCCTGGACCGGGCCTCCTCAGCCAGCCTTCCCTGCCACCCAGCAAGCAACCCAGGTCTCCCTCAAATCTAGGGGACATCACAGCCAGACTAGGGTCCCTGCTGACCAACCATGGGAGCTTCTGTTGCAGAGAATCTTTAATAGCATCTCCATGATGAGCCCCCTTTCCTGTCCACTGGGAGAGGCCTCAGCATCGCAGTCAGGCTTAGTGTGGCAGGGGAGGGCCTACAGCAGGGCCCTGGGGGCAACTTGGCACATGAGGACACATCCCTTTACCGGCCTGAGCCTGGGGCAAGGCTCAGACAGGATTCCACAGAGCCATGCTCCGCAGGAAGGAGCCACCACCAGAGCAGCAACTGCCTCTCCATGTCCACAGCCACCATCTCAGGCCAGGCCTGGGCACACCCCAGAGGGCAGGGTCTCCAGGGGACACTCACCCAGGCAGGTCCTGCCGTCAGTGTGGAGCCGGAAGCCGGGCTTGCACTCACAGAGGTAGGAGCCTGGGGTGTTCACGCAGCGGTGCTGGCAGCCACCATTGTGGGTTCTGCACTCGTCTACATCTGGGCAGGAATGGGGCCAGGTCAGCGCCGGGCACTCTCGCCTTCTCACCTCGCTGACACAGCCCCCCAGGTGCTGGGGACCCAGACCCAGGACCCTCCTATGCCTCGAGGGCACCGCCCCTGAACCCCTCACTCACACCTGTGGTAGGAGGAACAGGCTGGGCTCCTAGTGCCTTTCAAGACTGAACCTGGGTTTCTTAAGTCCAAATCCCCAAAGTGCTTCCTGGGCAGTGTCAGCCGCTCCACCAGGACCCACTGGCCCCAAAAGGGAAACTGATCACTTTTGAGATGACCATATCCAGGCTGTGGGGGAAGCCTGAGAGAGGAGAGGGGAGGGGAAGGGAGGGGAGGGAGGGCATGCTGGCTTGAAGAGTGTCCCTGCAATGCACAGCCGTCTGGAGCCTCTCAGGGAGGCCCTGTCTGGAAACAGGGTCTTTGCATCTGTCCTAAATTCAGGCTTGAGAAGAGATAGTTCCGGAGGAGGCTGGGCCCTAAACCCAATGCCTGTGTCCCGCCAAGACACACAGAGAGGCCCGTGTGAAGACCAGGCAGACTGTGGTGATGAGGTCACAAGCTGAGGATGGCCAGAAGGAAGAGGCCAGAAGGTCCTCTCTCCAGGCTCCCAGGGCATGTGGCCCCGCTGTCACTGAGTCAGAATCCTGGCCTCGGATGGCAAAGAAAAAACTCCCACTGTCCGCAGATACCCCATTTGTGGTGTTTATTCCAGCAGCCCTGGGAGGCCAATGCAGCTGGGGACAGCCCAGGCCCCCCTACCCACAGGCTTCCTGACCAAGGACCCAGAAGGGCAGCCCCACCGCCCCCCAGGCAGGACCCCCGCTCTACCGGCATCCTCCCTGGTGACGTGCCACCAACCGTCCTGGGGCAGCCCAGACCCTGTCAGACCCTCCCTGCCCGAGGCCCAGCTCAGTTTAGAACTACGAATCCTCAGGTTCCAAACTCAGCTGAGGCCCCACTCAGAGGCAGGAGAGGGGAATAGGAGTGCAGGAAGGGGTGAGGGCAGCCTGGTCCTGAGCCTCTCCACGCATCTGCACCACCTGGACTTCCACAGCTTGGGGACCGGGAGAACAGCAGCCCAAGGCCTCGGATGCCTCGCAGGACTCTCGTCCACCCACTGCTTACCAAGCCCCCTGAACAAGCGTGGCTAGAGAGAGTGGGGAGGGATCCAGGGACAGGTCCACTTTTGAGAGGACGCCTCCCACCACAGGACACCTGGGCCCACCTGCTCCTGTCCCGAGCCCCGTGGCACAGGCCACCAGAAAGTGCTGGCTGGAAGCCCAAAGGCCCAGCAGGAGCTGAGAGCCAGCAGTGCTCCAGGCATCCTTCCCTGAGACCCTGCCAGGGCTGGAGACCCAGCAGGCTGCACCCAGGCCCCATCACTACCCTCTGCAGGAATGCAGCGGGAAAGTACAGATGACAGATGTGGAGAAGGCTTCGGGCCTCCTCCCAGCCTCCAGGCCCACATCGCCAAGCTGGGCCTAAGGGGAGTCCAGCCAGCAATCAAGGCAAACAGAACTGAGCAGACAGGCAGCAGACCACAGGCTTCCTGGACACCTGTGTGTGTGGCCCCTGGGCTGCCTGGGTCGGAAGCCCTGCAGCTCCTGTGCCCTTGGCAGCCAGGCAGAGCACCCAGCACACAGGGGCTCTCAGAGAAGAAGTCAGTGGCTGGGGCGAATGGGGCAGTGTGGCCTCAGAGAACATGCTGTGACTTCCAGAAGCACTACAGGGGACTCTCCTAGGGGCCTGGGGCTGCTGGGCATGGCAGAAGCTCTGGAAGCTGGTAGTGCCCCGGCCAGAGAGGTCAAGGCTAATGTGAGACAGAGACCACGTGAGCCATATGGACAGCACAGACCCACCATGTGAGGTGCTGGGAGAGGGGGGCAAGAGGCCAGCACCCAGGCCAGAGCAGACACAGGAGTCACCCCAGGTACCGCAGTCCATACCTGTTACTCAGGCCAGGTGACACCTTTTACCCCACAACCTCACATACCCCACAGCCAGGTTTCCAGATCCAAGGAGAGGGAGGGGCCGCTGAGAAACCCCAGGGAGCCAGCATGGGGAGGAAGACACACAGGTGCTCTTCCGGAAGCTATGGGTCAAGTGTCTGGGGCCCACCGTCCAGGGTGATAAGAGGCCCTGCCCACTGACCTTGCCTCGAGACAGAAAGCATGGCCTAGCTGGGAGAAAATACTGCGATTTCAAAGGGCAAGTCCTCGACCATGTGGGAAACTGGCTGGCCGGAGGCCTCGCCTCCAGGGCTGCACAGAACCACTCTCTCACCTGCCTAACAATTGCCAGGTCCACGATCAGCTGTGACCACCAAGGCCTTCCCACCACCCTCCAGTTCCCACCACAGTCCCCGTGAAAACGCCCACCTTCAGGGCTCCATCCTTAAACTCCCATGTGGAGCACTGCTGGCGGGTACAGGCGGCCAGTGGTGACACACACCGAAAAGCTCTTCATAGCCAGTGCCAAGCCTGAGTCAGCGGACAGCGCCCACCCACCAGGCTGTGCCCCCCCCACCTACGAAAACCCTGCTGCTCATCCACACTCTGAGAATGTGCCTGCAGCCCAACAAGAAACCAACAGCCCCAGGAGGCTGGAGTCTCTGCCTGGGACCTCCAGGGCCATCTACTCCCTGCACAAGCCACACCCATTCTGGGGGGACCCCCAGGGCCCCTAGGCCCTGAGGCTGCCTCCTAAAGGGGACTGCAAATGAGAGCAGGAGCCCCTTTCCACCTGCACCACGAAGTCAGTCACAGCAACCTTCGCAAAGGCCATGATAGTTTGCGGGAAGAAGCTTGAAAGCAAAGGGTTAATGGGCCCCCCAACAGTGCCCCAAAGAAGCTCGAGGGAACAGAGGGACCTGGTGCCCTCCAAGGGAGTCAGCTGGGAGACAGACTCATGCCCACTCGGCAGGACAGGGTGAGTGGCACCCACCTGAGGGGCTCAGGAGGACACCCCTCCCCCTGAGCTCAGATCCCTCCATCCAAGACCCCCAAGAGGATCTCTGAAAAGTCATGATGTCCGTGTCCTCCTGTTGTGCAGTCGGGAACACTGGGACTCCATCATCCCAGCTCAGCCTCGCCGCTCTCAGCCACCAGTCCCTCCAGAAATTCCATGCTCCCTCTGAAAATGCACAGGCCCAGGTGGGCCAGGCCAAGCCCTTTCCATCCCAGCTGCCTGGTATGGCCATGTCAGGGGCCCGTGGTGGGGAAGACAGGCCGGTGGGTGGGGGCGCTGAGACATCCCCAGGCTTCCAGTGGATCAACTTTTGGAAACACTGAGCCAGCTCAAGGGTGAAGGATTTGGGGCCTCCCACTTGGACGACAGAGGCCTGCAGGGACAGGCACTCAACCAGACAGCTTCCTGCTGGAGTCCCCTCCACTCTGAGATCTTGGCCCTTTTGAACTGAGCAAATCCCCTTAACAGAAATGATTTTCACTCAGAAAGCAAGGCAGGAAGAACACATCACCCAAACCCTCTCTGCCCCACTCCCAAGGCACCCACGTGATGGCAGGGCTGAGCTGTTCTCAGACAGCTCCAAGCACCCACCGGTGCCAAGCCCATGACCCTGGCTGTGGCTGCGACCTGAAGGGCCATAGGTGCAGTGGTCTGTGAGGACAATGTGGTCAGCTGAATAACTAACATCCCCCAGAGATGTCCACATCCTCATCCCCAGACCTGCACATGGCAAAGGGACCTCTTTGCAGATGGACTGAGCTGAAGATCTGGGATGGGAGGTTATCCTGGCATATCCAGGTGGGTTCAACATGGTCTCAGGAGTGGGCGGGGAGGAGGAGACGTGACTGTAGAAGCAAAGGTGGCGGGGTGTGGGGGGTGGGATTGGCAGGTGCTGTGCTGTCAGCTTTGAGGATGGAGGAGAGGCCAACACCCAGGAACGTGGGCGGCCTCTATGCATGAGATGGACTCTCCCCCAGGGCCTCCAGAAGGAGCACAGCCCTGTCCATGCCTTGATTTTAGCCCACTTTGGACTGCGCCCCACGGGACTGTCAGGGAATAAATCCATGCTGTCCTAAGCACTGAGTGTAGGTTATTTGTCACTGCACCCATGGGACACAAATGCAGAGTGCACCACTGTCATCTCAGGAGTCACAAAGGCTCGGGCCATCTGGGCTGGAAATCGGGGCTCCCAGTGCCAGCTCTGCCAGCCTGGCCCCTGGCTCCTGTGCCCTCTGTGGGGCTGGTTGCACAGCCAGGTTCACAAGAGCCGTGTGCCCTGCAGAAGCTGTCTCCTTGGGTTCCCTCCTCCGCAGTCCTGTGCTCTGGGACCAGCCATGCCACCTACACACAGCCCAGGCTGTGCACGGAGCCTGCAGTGGGACCAGGGCCCCCATGAAGCTCTGGCACCCGGGATCCAGAGGTGAGCGTGAGGGCCTGAGCCTGAGGTGAGCGGGGCCCTGGGAAAGGCTGAAAGGAGCTTGGAGGCCCCTTGAGTGCTGACCCCTGAGTCAGACGACAAAACCTGCTCATTCCAGGGACAGCCAGGCCTGGAGGCAAATCCACTGTCCCTGTCTAGCCCCAGGCCAAGCCCCACACTGGGCAGGGGTCAGGCCAGAGAGGCCCCAGACAGTTGCGACATGAACCCAGGAGCCATCTGGTAGGAGAGGAGTGGGCCCTGAGCATCCACTTTAAGGAACAGCTGGGCCAGGCTCCTGCTTCTGCCCTCGGCTAGATACGTGACTATGGACTTCGCAGCCTCACCACAGGACCGTCAGCACACTGGCACATGGGGACACACTGTGCTAACATGGGCTGGTTCCTGGGAGCCGGCGGGACCCACAGTGTCTACCAAGCTGGGGAGCAGAGGAGCCTCAGGGAACCCATGAGGCCCCCAACAACCAACACCCATGTCCCACAGTTCCCAGCCCAGGACTACACACAGGTGGACGGCACAGCAGGGCTGCCTCTGCAGAAAGCACCCAAGAGACGCCCCTTCTGAAGCCCTCCTGGACTTAAAA